CCTAGGGTCTCTCTACATAGCCCTGGCTGTCCTAGTTCTTACCATGTAGACCAGGCTGGCCTCTAACTCACGAAGGTCCACCTTCCTCTGCCTCCCAGTGGATCAAAGGTGTGTGCCACCTCGCCCTGGTATGTTAAGGTGTTCTCAAGGAGTACCAGCCAGAGGACAGGACTTGTCCTGGGAGGACTTACATCCTAGCACAGTACTGGGTGGTGCTGTTGGGTACTACACCTAATATGCACACTAGTATAATGTCCAACATCAGAGTGCCAGTTAATGGAAGTGCTATAATGAATAAGGCCAGAAAAGCAAGTAACACATCTGAACAGTGCTGCATTTGTAGTGGTTAGGAGAAGCAAGCCTGCAAAGGTCTTCCTCGAGGAGAACAAGCAGATGTTTGAGGGAAATTTAGAAAACTGATGAAGACAACAATGGAAATAGAAATTATTAACAGCACTTAGGTAGAAAAAAATTTTAAAGGTAAATAAGAAGCTGGGCAGTGGTGGTGCACACCTTTAATCCCAGCACTCAGGAGACAGTGGCAAGGTGATCTCTGTGAGTTAAGGCCAGCCTGGTCTAGAGAGTGAGTTCCAGGACAGCCAAACTGTTACACAAAGAAACGCTATTTCAAAAAAGAAAAAAAAAAGTTAAATAAGATCTTTGCAGAAATAAAGCCAATTTAGCATTTGGGATATAGCTGAGTGGTAGAATGCTTCACTGGCATACAAAAATCCCTGGATGTGTTCCCAAGAACCCACACAGAACTATCAATAATAATAAAATAATAATAATAATAATAATAATAATAATAATAATAAAGAACAACATACAGAATGAAATGCTAAATAACACAGATAAAAGAGAAAAGGCCTAGTGGCACATGGCTGTAATCCCAGGATTCAGGAGGCTGAGGCAGGATGATGGCCACAAATTAGAAGCCAGCCTGGGGCTGGAGAGATGGCTCAGCGGTTAAGAACACTGGCTGTTCTTCCAGAGGTCCTGAGTTCAATTCCCAGCAACCACATGGTGGCTCTCAACCATCTGTAAGGAGATTTGGTGCCCTCTTCTGGCCTGCAAGGATACATGCAGACATTACACTGTATAATAAATAAATAAATAAATAAATAAATAAATAAATAAATAAATAAATAAATAAATAAATCTTTAAAAAAAGAAGCATGCATTACATTGTATAATAAATAAATAAATAAACAAACAAATCTTTAAAAAAAAAAAAAAAAGGAAGAAGCCAGCCTGTTCTACAGAGTGAGTTCTAGCCAACCAGAACTATGTAATGAGATCCTGCCTCAGACAGAGAAAAGAACAACAAAAGCGACTCATGAAAAGACAGTAGCTGGCAAAGCTCAAATAGAGAAGCCATAAGAGGTGGAAGGGGAAAATATGTGATAAAACAAAAGAAAACTTTCCCAAAGTAGAGGCCAGAGTCAAAGGAAGCCCCAGGCCAAGAGTGATCAGTACCTACGTAAAGGAAGCTGCTGGTTTTCCAGTAAGACCTCCAGGACACAAAGCAGGCTGGTGGAAGGTTCTGCTAACCTGGAGGTAGCCAGCTGTGGAACTCAGCAAGATCTCTGGTAATCCCATCTATAGCAGTGGGCCTCAAGTGGTCGGGCGTGGTAGTGCACGCCTTTAGTCCCAGCACTCTGGAGACAGAGGCAGATGGATCTCTCTGTGAGTTTAAGGCCAGCCTGGTCTACATGGTAAGTTCCAGGACAGCCAGGGTAGGTAGAGAGGGCCCTGTCTCAAAAAAAAAAAAAAAA